TCTCTAGAAGTCACCTGATCTTTAAAACTATTATTTATTTTTCTGATTATAAAACAGAAAGTTTGTAAAACTGGGAAACATGCAAAAAAAAGAAACCCGAAAATAATAATTGCTATTGTTCTGGAGTATATCCTTTTTCAATGCACCAATTTGTATCACAAGACTGGATCTGACTATATTACTCTATAACTTGCTTTTCTTGCACAGTATGTTGTGAAAAAGACATTAAGTATTGCTGGTTGCTTTGAGAGCTGTATGAGCACAATCATATTTAAGTAGTTCCCTGATCACTAGATATTTAAGATTATTTGTAATTCTCCCCTATTACAAATAAAGCTACAAAGAGTATCCTTGCTGATGAATTTTGGGTTTCATAGCTGATTATTTCTTCAGGAAAAATTTCTAGATACAAATGTTTTTAATCTTTTAAAGTGATAACAGTTCACCATCAGTGACATATGAATCATTTTCATTGATTTCATTTAACAGAGACATTTAAAAATAACTAAACAAGGGAGGCAGAAATATAAACACAATTTTAATTAAATATGTAAATACAACTAATAGAATAAAGACAGAAAGTATTTGTGAAAGGTAATTTTAGATTGGACTTTAATGAAAAAAAAAATCAGGGAAGCCATTCCAGGAAGAAAGATACTGCATTTTCAAAATCAAGGAGTAACAGCACATATCCCTCTATTAAAAATGGGTTTTCCAGAGCTGAGCATTGTACCACATGCCTGTAATCCCAGCTACTGGGGAAGCTGGTGCAGGAGGATTGCCTAGTTCAAGGCCAACCTGGCAAATGTGTCAAAATAAAAATTTTTAAAGGGCTTAGGAATAGCTTAGTGGTAGAGCACTTGCCTAGCATGTGTGAGGCCATGGATTCAATCATTAGTACCAGCAAAAAAAAAAAAAAAAGGAAGAAATGGACTTTGCAGTGCTTACCCAGCATATATTTGATGAAGCTCTGGATTTGATCCCCAGAACCACACACAAACACACAAAAAAGAGAGAGGTGGAAGAAAGAAAGAAAGAAGAGGAAAAAAGATACAAAAAAATTTTAAAAAGAAAGAAAGAAAGAAATGGGCTTTGCAAACCAGAAGAGTAAAGTAAACTTCAGAGGCAAGATTACAGATATAGACTGGGGTTGATCTCAGCTGTAGAGCACTCGCCTAGCACATGCGAGGCCCTGGGTTCGATCCTCAGCACCACATAAAAAAAATAAAATAAAGGTATTGTGTCCAACTATAACTAAAAAATAAACTTAAAAAAAAGATTACAGGTATAGAGCAGGAAAAAAAGATTACAGGTATTGAGAGGCAGAGTAAGGAGAGATCATGTCCTATGAGCAATGGGCAACTATTAGAATTTATCCCGCATTTTCCCCTTTTATTCTTAAAAACATAACAAATTTACTTGGTTAAACATTTACTTGGTTTAAAATTACAAAACACATGCTGTGTTATTTCCCTCTCCCTGTTAGTTTTTTATGTAGTTTTTCTAGTTATTTGTGTATCCACATATACACATAAGGTTTTGTATTTCCCTGTTTTCACAATGGTAGAATACCATGAATAATGTGCTGTTTTCCTTTTCTCAATTTTCCTGTCCATACATATCCCCTCCCCCTTGTTTTTGTAGATGCACTATAATTTATTTATCCACTTATGGGACATTTAGGCAGTTTTTAATTTTTTCCTAATACCAATAATATTATCATTAATAACCCTGGGCATACATGAATTTGTACGTGTGAAGGCACACATAGAAAAATTACATGAAGCAGGATTACTGTGTCCAAAGTTGTGTGCATTTTAAATTCTGATCTTATCATTAGGCCTCATAAGGATTGTACCAAATCACAATTTACAATTCACAGCATGAACTGTGAGGGAATGCCTGCTTCCTCACTCTCTCACCAATGTGACTGTCAAAGATTGGGATCTCTGCCAAATTTTTAACTGGCACCTTGAGTGAAGAGTCATTTTGTTAACTATTCACATATTTTGCCCATGATTCTAGTGAGTGCTGGACCTTGTTAATTTGTGTACTCTTTGTATCATAGGAAAATCATTTATTTGCTTACTATGGGAATTGCAAATTGTGTCTTTGCAACTTTGTCACAGATCATGTGACTTTACTTATCATGTTTTTGCCATGCAACTAATCTTTTCTTTTTATTGCTTCTGGGTTTTATGCCATGGTTACACAGACTTTTCCCACTCTGGGCCCTGAAGGGAGTCTTATATGGAGTCAGGAATTGATAAGGGAGGAATGATGGGGGAGGGAGGTTCATATATCAGGAAGGCCAATTAGGTTTTTGCAACAGTCTAAACAAATGATTAAATTCTAAAAGCAACAGCAGCAGGGATAAAACAATTGAGAAAACTTAGCAGTGTTTGGTGATCAATGTAAGAGTGATGGAATGGAGTCTTTTAAAAGAATGTTAAATAATTTCCTACAGTAAGTTATCAGTACTCTATCCACATGTACTTTACCAATAAAAATAATATATTTTAAACACAGATTTCCATTGCTTTTCACAAAAGGTTTATGAAGCAGAAATTACAAATAAAAGATACAGAGGATTCACACAAGTCCTCTCAGTTAAGTTTGGGAGCAAATTGTGAATCCAGGAACCCAACTCCGAAGTCCAAAATAATTCCATCTACTTATGAAACCCAAACAACAGCTGTTCTAAAACAATGGTTTCCAAACATGAATCCATGATAAAACTTTAATCTGGCAAGCTGCAAAAAGAGAAAAGCAATGGCCATATATAGTCACTGACAGGTTGGCAGTGACTTTTTGTTTTTCTCTGCAGTCAGCATGTATTCTGAGTTTACAGTCTTAGTATGTGTGTTCTCTGAAAGAACAGCAGTATACATGGTTCCGCTCTTCCAATACCGATATATTAAAAAAGTAAAAGATGGCAACTGGTCCAGCCTAAAAATCAAAACAAAAGCGTCTCCAGCAGTGGCCGGCCACTGCTCTAGGGAAGTTTCAAATTGTTAATGAGCAGCAGCCTCAGAGAAGACTGAGCAAGAGCAGAAGGGCCTGAGCTGGGGAACCTGGCTATTGAGGCAGCTGTCCTGTTTGACTCCACCACGTACAGACCCAGGTCCGATCGTCAACACCTCTCCCGCGCCGGCCGTGTGCCCAAGCCAGGCCACGGCGCTGACCCCGGCGTTGACCCGACATCCAGCTGAGGAGCGTCTGCGATGAGGGTCAGCGCCCCGGAGGGCCGGCAAGGGCGCGAACCTCCCTCCGCGCATGCCCACCGGCCCCGACCCCCACCCCGCTCACCAGGGTTCCTCTCGCAGTCTAGCCCTGGGTACTGTCGCCTCGGTGGCAGGCCGCTAGGAGATGACACTAGAACCCAACGCGGCACCGAACCAGTCCCAAAATAATGGCCGAGCCCGGGACATCCCGACTTCCGGTTGCTCACCACCCCAATCGCCGACTCTCTATGAAGCCACGTCTCTATGGTCCCTGGTTTTCCCCAGAGGAGGCGAGGAGGGGCGGAGCTCCTAGGCCTATGGGTCTTCAGATTGTTGGTCTGTGGGCCAATTTTCTGTTACGAGGCTGGGGATACCTCAAGGAATCACAAGATGTTTGACCCTTGAAAGATGTCTATTGCTGGTCCCAAAAATTAGCCTACTGCACGTCCTGCATCTCCACCCTGAGACAGACAGACACACACACACACACACACACACACACACACACTTTTCAGTTGTATATGGCCGGCAAATGCAGAACATTTAAATTGAATGAAGCTAAAGTTCAAACCAGAACTGGGATATCACTAAAAGAATATAAACATAACTTGTGGGTCACCCTCTTTCACATTTCATTTACTTCCTACATGAGTCCTTTGAAATAGATAATATTGTCACAGCTTTAATGACACTGAAAGTGTTTCATAATTTTCTGCCTAATAACTAGCAAGTTATTGAAATTCAAGGAAAGTGCTCTTTCCACCAACATATGTAGGCATATTGAAGCAAGCAAACCACTCAGGATTGGAAGGCAAGACGCAGATGGGGAGAAAAGTCAGGAAAACCAGTGTGAAGACTGTCTTCAACCTCCTGAATGTTTTAGCCATGGTTGGGTTTTAGAGAACTCAGTCAATGTGAATGAAAACCTTCATTAATATGCCCTGTTCACAAGGAATCCATCTAAATGTTTGACAATCTGATGTGGGGTAGAAAGCAGGGAGGTTGCTACTGGAGTTCACACCAACTGGATTTTTCATATAAGTTATAACTATTGAATACACTCTGCTCTGGAGAGGCCCAAAAGTGGTGGGTTAAAAAAATTTTTTCTTAAAAGGTATAGTAAAGAAAATGTTAACTGAGGCCCTTTCTTGCTTTAGGGTTTTGGAAAAACAATGGATCAAGTTACAACACAGAAAGGGAATATTTTCAAACACTAGAATTCTTTGACAGATATTAAAAGTAGATTTTGCTTGCTATTTAAAGAATATGCCCTTTTTGCTCTATTACATGGACAGTTCTTCTACCCTTTAATTTTTTGTACAGCTGTGAATAAATGTCTGATACCCATCTTGGGTCAGGAATGGATCCTTGTTCCCCAGTGTTGAAGATGAAAAACCTGAGAAATGCTGAGGCAAGCATAGAAAGCAAGTTGTATTTAAGAAAGTGATAGCGACTGACTTCTCTGAAGAGAAGGGGGCTTCAGAGCTGGAAAACCCACGTGTGTGTGTGTGTGTGTAGGGATCAGCACGGTGGGCTCATTTTATAGGATTGTTCTCTTAGCCTCGTGTTCCCTCCATCCTCATCTATCTGTCCCTTCACCACTCTACCCATCAAACGGCTATAGAGCTCTGATTTATATGAATATGAAAATAACAAGCTTCATATAGAAGGAAGTCAGAATCACTTTATTCTAAAAAGTCAGCTCCTTGAAGAAAAGCAGATTGAATTGTTTTCTTCCTACTCTGAAAGAAGATAGAAAAGAAAAGGCCAGTAATGTAAGAATAGCAGAAGTTTATTGGAAGAATTATCATTATTTCCTGCAAAAACAGTTTTATGACTCCAGTTTAATGATATTAGAAGTGACTAAAACCAGTCTGGTAACTAAAAACCATTTAATAATATGAGCATCCTTTTATTTACACTGGATGGAAAAATTAAAAAAGGAAGTCTGTCACTGAAGCTATAGACCTGCAATAAAATTCAGTCTTATGGAATTTACATACAATACAATTACTCAACTAAATCAAGTTTTGGTTTCAATTTTCTACCAAGTAAGACATAACATAGTATACACCATCTATGAAAGAAACCTCTAAATCCAGGGAAATAACATTTTTCTAAGCAGGTTTCTTTATGTGTTTCCCTATAATTGTATTAAATGAGATTTCACATCTTCCTCTCATCTAAGAAAGCACACATTTTTATTCCACAGAGAGCAGTTCTACATAATCAGGATATAGTGGCTAAAAATAGTACCTCTTCATATGCCTCAGGAAAATTCGGGGAACTAAAACCATGAGATAAGGTGACAACACAGGAAGCCAGCAGATGACAAAAACAAGGACCGATAATACACAGTACTGTCATGATGTACATTTCAAGAGGGCAGTGTTTCTGATGGAGAATAGGAAAGAAATGGCAGTACAGAGAGGTACACGGCTTGAGGGAGACAAAAACTAGTAATTGAGGGACTTCAGAGGAAGCATTGCCCTAGGGAATAGCCAGGTTCCACTGGAACAATGTGAAGAAAACACACTCAGAAATAGCCCCTGAATTCAGAGGATATTATGAGAGGAGTTTAAGAATGGTCCTAGCTGCAGGTTTAAACTCCAAGGCAAGAGCTGACAGTAAGGGTTTCAAGGGACTATGTTCCTAACATTCCTGGGCCAAGAAAGTGATCTTTTGTATTCAGATCCTGGATATTGGATAACATGATATCCATCCTAGAAGGATACTCTATTTACTCTATTTAATCTTAAAGATCACAGAGTCTTTCTTGATGTAAAAGAAAGCCTATCTGAATTCTAGATAATACGACATAGCAATGGGAAAATGATGACATCATGATCAAAGAATAGCTGCTCAGCAATGAATGCTCCTGAATGCAGCAAATCTGTTCCATGCTGCACAAACCTGCTTTGACTATGCAAAGAGGACTATTATGTCACAAAATTGTGTAAAAACCACTATCCAAAAATCAGGACAAAGCCAAACAATCCTGTTTTACACAAATATACACCTTTCACACTCTTCACTTCTTTCTTTCCAGTAACTGCAAGGAAGATATATATATGAGTGTGTGTACATATATATATCCCTTTAAAACTAAATTATGAGGTAGAGATGGGCCATACATCTCAGAAAAAAATAGCATCTTCCTTATGAAACCAATGTCAAATAATTGTCCAGATACAACCACCTTTCATAGAGGTGGATGCCCCGGAGAACCCCACTCATACACAGAATCACCATGGCAGAGGCACTTTGGTATAATGAAGAAATTATGGACTTCAAAGTCAGATCTCGGCTTAAATCCTGGCTCCAAGCACTAATTAGCTTGTCACCTAACCTCACAAATTTTCTTGTACAAAATGTTGGATTGAATAAGATAACAAATCATTAATAATTCCTAAAACAATGAATCACTATGTATAAGACAAATGACAATGGGCTTCGGAACTTACTATATACAAAGAAAAGGAATGTGGAGATTCAGGGCATGATGGTGGTGCATGCCAGAATCTCAGTGACTCGGAAGGCGGAGGCAGGAGGATCGCAAGTTTAATGTCAGTCTCAGCAATTTAACAAGACTCTCAGCAACTTTGCAATACCTGTCTCCAAATAAAAAGGAGTAGGGATGGAGCTCAGTGGGAAAGCATCCCTGGGTTCAATCCCCAGGGCTGCTCCCCCACTATGGCAGGAAAAAAAAAAAAGAATGGAGAGATCTAACTGTTGCCGGATGCATTTTGAATAGGACTTAAAAACATTTTGAATACTGGTTGAAAATGGGTATAGGCCTTCTTAAAGCGTTGGCCATAAAGAAGGCAGAGAAAGCTGGTGAGCATGCGTCTGTAGTACTGACTACTCAGCATTCTTCCCTCCCTGCTTCTGAGGAAGATTTTTCTCAATGATAAAAGAAAGAAACCCCAATTCCTAGCTTTATAAGAGTTGTATGAAGAAAAGAAACTTGCAGCAACCAAGATTATGAAAAATGAGTCAATATGGCTAAAAATCATGGTGTTAAATTGAAAGTTTGTTGAGTTGCCAAACCAAACTCAGAACTGCTTACTACTAGACTTCCTCTTAAGTTTTTACACTTGGTATTCTGTTCATTACCTGAAAACCTACTGTTACCTTTGGCAAAAGTTCTGTCAAGTGTTTCAAAACATTGCTATAATACTTGTATACCACTACAATAGCCTACTCTTGGGCTATTATTATTTACCATGTATCAGGCTTGTCATCCATCACATGCACCATTTTATTTAATCTTCACAGCAATCCTGTGAGGCAGAGAATTATTCCCTTTTTACAGAAAAGTCTGAGCGTTTAAATTTACTTGTCTAAAATTGACAAGTGAATACTTGGCAGACTTGATATTAGAACACAGATCACCTACTAAGCTCTATATAAGATGTGAAGGCAGTCTTTCACTACTTTTATTATGTAATGATTCCTGGAACTCTTTATAGTTTTTGAGCCTAGGATTGATTCAATTTCATAAAGGAACATGTTTTTCTATTTGCCCAGACACATATTGGAAAGATGGAGCCTATATAGTTCTTCATCATCTGCAGATCCTTCCACTACTGAGGGAAAGTAAGACGCCCTAAATATTTTCCTGTTCTTTTCACCTAACAGCGATCACACACTTTGCCGACAACTCTATAGTCAATTTATCTTAAAACTGCAAAAGACAAACTATAATTTTACTACCAGGAAATCACCTGTAGAAGGAATTGACTCACTTATGGTTCCACTACAGCTAAATGCCAGTATTAAGACGTAATTCTGAGACTTTAGACTGTATACTATGCGCCTTTCCCAGAACAGTTGAGTGAAAATGAGCATGGATTTACTGCATTTAAAAAATACTATACTTTTTTCCCTAAATATAAAAGTAGAGCATTTTCATTGTAGAAAATCTAGAAAGCATAGAAAAGTATACAAAAGAAAATAGAAATAATCTACAATTCTATCACATAGAGATAACATTTTAGTTTGCTTTAAGGTTTTAAAATTTTTGATATTTCATTGAAATTTTTCTTTTTTTTTTTCCTTACTAGAGGTTAAACCCAGGGGTGCTTAACCACTGAGCAACATCTTTAGCCCTTTTTATTTTTTTTATTTTGAGACAGTCTCTTTAAGTTGCTTAGGCTTTGCCTCATTGCTAAGGCTGGCCTCAAACTTGTGATCCTCCTGCCTCAGCCCCTGAGTCACTGGGATTACAGGCATGTGCCACCATGTCCAGCTTTTCTATTTTATCCAAATCATTTCCCCATGACATCACATATTCTAGGGCTATTATGTTTACAGTGGCTGCAGAACCATCATATAGATAGAGCAGCATTCATTTAACCCCATCCTATTGAAAACTGAGGTCTCTCTCCCTCTCATACATTTATGTATGATGCTAGCATGAATATCCCTTTTGTTAACCTTTGTCTATTATTATTTTCCCTATATGGATTCTTAGAAATAGAGTTAAAATTAACACTGAAAATTGTTTTTTAGAAGCATTTAGCTATATTACTGCCAATGTTTGTTATTTACAAGGTTTCTTTCTCTTCATTATGTTTTCTCTGATGTTGAATAAGTTGTGAGCTGTAACGATAGGCTTTCCCACACTCACTACACTTATAGGGTTTCTCTTTAGTGTGGGTTCTCAAATGTAGAATAACTTGAGAAGTCTGCCTGAAGGTTTTCCCACACTCATTACATTTATAGGGTTTCTCTCCAGTGTGGACTCTCTGATGATCAATAAGGTTTCGATTAGAAGTAAATGCTTTCCCACACTCATTACATTTGTAAGGCTTCTCTCTTCGATGAAGTCTCTGATGTTCATTAAGGGTCTTCCTTAAGATGAAAGCTTTTCCACATTCATCACATTCGTAGGGTTTCTCCCCCGTGTGAATTCTCTGATGGTCCATAATCTTTGTATTAGAACCACAAGTTTTCCCGCACTCCTTGCACTTGTAAATTTTTTTTCCTTTGTGCATTCTCTGATGTTGTGTAAGGTTTGAACTGCGGCTAAAGGCTTTCCCACACTCAATACAAGTGTAGGGCTTCTCCCCAGTGTGAACTCTGTGGTGTGAAATAAGCCCTGAACTCCGACTAAAAGCTTTCCCACACTCCTTACATTCAAACGTCTTTTCCCCACTGTGGATTCCCTGGTGCCGAATGAGGTGTGACTTACCACTGAAAGATTTCCCACATTCACTACAAGTATAAGGCTTTAGTCCAGTGTGGATTCTCCGATGAACCACAAGGTTGGAGCTATGACTGAAGGCTTTCCCACACTCCTTACACTTATAGGGTTTCTCCCCTGTATGGATCCGCTCATGCACTGTAAGGTTGGCACTCTGACTAAAGGCTTTCCCACACTCAGTACATACATATTGTCTCTTTTCAGCCTGAACTCTGTCATGTGTTGCCGAGTCATAGCATTGACTACCATCTTTTTCAGATTCTTGATCACTCACTTCTATGAATGTTTTACTGTCTTTAACTGCCTTATGTTTGAAGTTTCTTGTCTTTCTCTTCATTTTCTATTGCTTGGAACATTCCAACAGCCTTGCTAGTCTTCTCTTTTCCTTCAGAGGAGCTTTTGAAATTTTGAATTTATTGGCAACACCTATGTGAAATTCTCTTGAGAGTACAATTCAGTTCTAATTTTCCTGGATTGATGCTTTGGAATCAACACCTCCTCAGTCCCAATTTCAGCATCTGATGGGAAAAACAGAAATCCTACATGTCACCTGTTCTTTGTGCTAAGGACAGTAAGATGTGGTAGATCACAGATCACAGGGTCTTACTTGGAAGGGTAAGTATTCAAAGGCAGAGGAACTAATCAAAAAGATGAGAAAACTTAGACATAAAGACCAAGTTAAAGGGTTCTGGAAAATCATGAGCTCCTCTTGGCAATAACTAGTACAAAATGAATCCTGTTTTCCTCTTGCTTCACTTTCAGAACTGTAGCCATTTAACTCCTAATGACAGGCTCAAGTATAATCTGGTACCCAGAAAAAGTAAAATGAAAGATCCTTAGTTCAGTAACTGAAATGATTAATTGTCAGATCACTTTGATTTTTAGTCCTTGCTGACATATTTCCTAAGTACTAGTGATATACTGGTGGGCATACAATAGGCACTCAAAATTTATTTTATAGGATAGTGACTGGGACTCTTTTGTGTGTGTGAGTGTGTGTGTGTGGCACTGGGGATCAAACCCAAGGCCTTGTATATGTTAGGCAAGTGTTCCAACACTGAGCCACATCCCCAGCTCTTAGCAACTGAAATTCTGTCTTAGGATATAACTAAGATTTCATCTTTTGCTCTAGGTCCAGGTACTAGGCTCCAGTCTAGGTCTCTGGATTTAAGTCCTATTTTGATAAATGTTAATACATTCTTTCAATACTGAATCCTAGTCACATCACAGCCTACTTTATAGGGGCTGATCTGTAGCTAGAGCCAGAAAAAATATGCTAGTTTTATGTGTCTGCTTTTCACCATTTACCACACTGGCAGATTGGTCTACTGGATGAATCTGAGAGGCTAAACTGGGAAAGAAGATTAGTTACAATATGACAGAGGAACTCTGATAGGACCTTGCATGTTAAGAATGTAAGTATGGCAAAGGGAGAGAGTAGGAGACACGACAACCAAGAGGGCCCAAGACAAGGGTTTTTTTGTTTTGTTTTGTTTTTTGTTTTTTAATTCCCTTGCAGTACTGGGGATGGAACCCAGGGGCATTCTTACTACTGAACTAAAAGCCCAGCACACCCCGCTTTTTTTTGAGATAGGGTCTTGCTAAGTGGCTGACGCTAGCCTCGAATCTGCCATCCCCGACCTCAGCCTCTCGAGTTCCTGAATTACAGGCATACGCCATCATACCCAGCTTCTTTTCCATTTCTAAGCTTCTCTAAAATTTACCTTTTCTTCATACATTTCTTAAATTAATAATTATTTAGCACCCTATTCTGTACCCATCACTGTTCTGAGTCTAATCCAAAGAAAATGTAAAGAAACATTGTTATGAACTGAATGTTTGTGTTTTTAAAATTCCTAAGTTGGAGCCCTGATCCCTGCAATGTTACCATATTTGGAGATTGGGCCTCTAAGGAGATAATTATGGTTAAATGAGGTCATAAGGATGGTCACTTATCCAAAAGAATCAGTGTCATAAATTATAAGAAGAAACACCAAAGTGAGCACTCGCTCTCCTGTATTCGGATGAGCAAAGGCCATGTGAACAACACAGAAAGTGGCCATTCACAAACCAGGATGTGACCCCTCAACAGAAACCAAATTGACTGATTTCAGACTTCTAGCCTCCAGAATTTTAACAAAATAATGGTGGTGGCTGGAGTAAGGTAATATAAGCATAAAATATATTTACCTCTAAGAAGCTCTCAATGGAGTAGTATAATAAAACAATAAGAAAGTAAATTACAAATTTACAAATTACCCAAGTGGGAGATGAAGGGGAAGGGAGGAGCAATTACTGGGACTTAGAATGCTAGGAGAAAGGTCTTCAAAAGGCAGAACTTTAGTTGAGCTTCAGAAGAGAAACAGGAATTATTTTTTCTCAAAAGGAAGGTGGCACAGGGTTGGTGTACTCACAAATAAGTGGGAAATTACACTATAGCATACACTTCATGCTGGCAGGGATTTTGTTTTGGAAGCTTTTTTAAAATATATATATACTGGAATTGAACTCAGGGGAATTCAACCACTGAGGCACATCCCCAGCCTTTTTTTGTGTTTTATTTAGAGGCGGGGTCTCACTGAGTTGTTTAGGGCCTTGCTAAATTGCAGAGGCTGGCTTTGAACACAGGATCCTTCTGTCTCAGCCTTCTGAGTTGCTAGGATTACAGGTGTGTGCCACCAATTCTGGCAGGGATTTTGTTTTGTTTACAAGTGTATTTCCTAGGGTCTAGAACAGATATAAGAACTTAGTCTGCACTCAAAATTCTTTTGTTGCTCAATCAACAAAATGAATATATGAAAGAATCAAGTTGCCTGAAGTGAATCCAGTCACAACACTAAAACTGCAAGACAAAAAAAAAATATATATATATATAGATATATAGATATAGGTATATATATATATGTATATATATATATATATATATATACATATATATATAGAGAGAGATATAATTTGATGGTCAATGAGAAACAAGTTCTAAAACAAAGAATGAAATCTACTCTTAATTTTCTTCCCCCATTTTATATTCTGTTTTTCTATCTTGTTTTTCTCCTCTCCTGTTACTCTCGTCTTTCTTACTTATAAATTCAGTTTTTTAAGTTTTACCATTCATTTCCCCTAAGGCTCATATTTCCTTCCTCTCTGCTACCTCTGAAAACATTCATGTTTCTCTCAGCTTTATTAAGCGGAAAGCAGAGGAGACAGGCAGCTGAGGTATTCCACAGGAAGTAAACTGAGAGAAATAAAAAGGAAAGAGTCCAAGACATGTAGCCTAAGAGTAGAGTGATCATATATTTTGGTTTTCCCAGAACGGTGCTGGTTTATAACTGCTATCCCAATATCATATTTAATAGTGCCTCTCTTTAACTCACTAAAGCATCCCAGTTTGGATAATAAACTTTGTATCACTCTCTCGAAAAGTGAAAATAGGAAAAGAATATTCTAGGAAGATTAGCCTAGATGGCTTAAAGGGGGGAAAGAAGAATGGAGGAAGAGAAATGAATTAGGAAAAATGTTTAGAAATGTGATATGGATGACCACTGTATCATCTAGCAGGATCTAGCACTTTGTAGGTGCTCAATAAATGTTTGTTGAATGAATGAACTATGAATGAGACAACAAGGAAGATTGTGACAGGGCAGAGGACAATGAAATCCAGCTATTCCAAGAAAGCATCCACATACATCAGATTGGATACAGAGGATGACTGATGGAAACAATCTAAGGTCATCTGATGTATCAAGAATGGTAGTACTGGGGGCTGGGGTTGTAGCTCAGTGGTAGAGCACTTGCGTAGCATGTGTGAGACACTGGGTTCGATTCTCAGCACTGCATAAAAATAAATGAATAAAAATAAAGGTCCATCAACATCTAAAAAAAGAATGGTAGTGTTGCCAAGCAAGATTGGGAAACGGGAAAACACTTTAGACAAAAGGAGAAGAAATGGAAAAATGTCAAGGATGCAAATTTGAGAATAAGACAGAAAACAGAGAAAGTCATGGAAATGTATAATCTTACAAGCTAGGGATTGGGTTAGAAGGGGCAGGTAGGGGAAAAGCAATGCACAGGGATACACTATGAGAAGGTCCAGGGTGTTTCTGCAGGACCCCAGTAAGAAGCAGGACTAGACAGGAGATCAAGGAGGGTCACTCTAAAGAGAGTTTGATCAAAAGGAAACCTAACTACAAGCTGCCCTTTGCCCAGCTGAATGGAAAACTCCTTCAGAAGTCCTGGAAGAACCTCCAGGCATGAGAGAGGTGCGGGCTTTACTGGAGAAGCAGTAAGAGGAGAAGATGAGGCCATTGGGCTAGTAGGACACTATGGGTATTTAGGTAACTGTGCACATAAACTCAGTTTGGGGCAGCCAGTAAATGAATAAAGCCCAAGAAGACAGAACAGATTTTCTACTTATTAATCTCTGAGACTGGTAGGTAAGTTTTCTGATCCCAAGAAAACCATCCATTTCAGGCTGTGAGGAACTTGCAAAGGGCAGAGTCCTTTTCCCACAAAGAGCAAGAGCAAAAGTGTCTTTACCCAGAGAAGCTGTATTCCTTTAATTCACTCGTGTCATCTGTCCCTCTGAGTACTGGTCACATGGTCCTTGGTCATTAACTGCAATGTAGGGAAGGAATGAGAGGAAATACATGAAAATATATTCAAAAGACAGATGGGTAAAATATGAAAATTGGAAGAAAAAAAACACAAAATAACAACAATAACAAGAAAATATCAAGGGAGTACTTGACCTTAGGTAAAGACAAGCCTTTAGGATTCAAGCATAAAATAAAGGCTGTATCCACAATACAAAAGCTGATATATTTGACTATATAAAAATTTCTACACTTAAAAAAACCCTGACCATAACAGATATACAATATAAACTGGGCTTTATGCTAGAATTGCTCATGTGTATGTCTATGCCCCTCATATTCACATGTACACATTAAACACTAAGTCACAAGAGAGCAGGGCTCATGATATTTGTCTGTGGATACCATACATCACCTGACATGAAGAAAGCTCAGTAAACATTGCTTAATTTGCAATGTTCAACAATTTCAAAATTCTATCCAATATTTGGAGTACTTACCAGGAGGGTGAGAAGTGAGTCCACTGAACATTACCTCCTCTGCCTGTTCATCCTTTTGTGCTTCAGATTGTCTAATAAACACCATGATAGTATATTTGTATCCTGTCAATTCTATCTC